TCTGCGCTCGAGCCGAGCTCACTCAATTACGCTGAACGAGCCTACTTGCTCACCTCATCTCTACACCCGTCAGTCGTAAACACTGTAATTAACGTAATTATGTGCTAAGGAACTTCACAAGTCGGACTCAGCAAGGTAGTCTGGTCAGGCCAAATACCACCGAGTCCAACAAGCGACTCGGTCAGGTAAGCTACCATGTAATTATGTGCTAAGAAACTGCACAAGCCGGGCTCAGCAAGGTAGCCCTGTCAGGCTAAAAAGTTGCCAACGAGGCCGTCAAATGGTTCAGTCAAGTAGAAGCTTCCAACGTGAAAAAGTAATGAAGAAGCTGGGCTCAACAAGGTATCCCGGTCAGGCCAAAATACCACCGAGTCCGACAAGCGACTCGGTCAGGTAAAAGTGCCACCATAATTAGTGTAATAAAGTGCACAAGCCGGGCTCAACATGTAGCCCGATTAGGCCATAATACCACCAAGTCCAACAAGCGACTTAGTCAGGTAAAAAGTGCCACCATAATTAGTGCAATAAATTGCATACTCGACAAAGGGGCCCGATCAGGCCGGGATGCCGTAAAACTAAAGGCCTACGGGCCATAAGGCCAAAATGTCCTAACACTAAAAACCGAACTCCAAAAAATAGTTTGGCTCAACGAAACATGCGACAAAGTGCTCTCATTTGTCAAACATTCATCACATGCATTCATCATAAATTCATCACATACATTCACGCACTCATCATATGATCACATTGTGCATACACTCGTGCGTTGCACAAAGAGCTCAAAGCTCAATCGAATAAAGAGTTCAAAGCTCAATCAAACAAAGAGTTTAAAGCTCAATCAAACAAAGAGCTCAAAGCTCACTCAGACAAAGAGCGCTAAGCTCACTCATGTAGACAATTCAAAATGCATTCCTACAAAAATACGGGTACCAAATTACCCGACCAGGCCACTCAGGCCCCATCCAATAGAAATTTAGAAAAATTGTCCTTTCACTTAAACTAACTCGACTTGTCAAAGAGTAAAGCGTGATTATTATAAATCCGTCAGGCCAAATTCTAAAACGATCAACAAAATGCACAAGGGTCCCAAAACGCCTTAAAATTTCATAACTCATGATAAATCAGCGTCTTACGCATAAAACACAACAAAGTAGCTTCCACGAGAGAAAATAATAAGCAGAAAACGACAAAGCAATGATCTGAATAACCAATGTTACTCTATGAAGATTAAATAAAGTCCTAGAGGCACACAAAGTGAAAACCGACACGATACCGAGGTGAACCTATATATCACGC